AAAGATTCAGCTATCATAGATCGATCGTATAGAGTGTGATGAACCAAATCGTTATGCAAAGTAGTAGTATTTTCAACTTAGCCTTCAATTTTAGGGAGTTTGTCGAAAGTCAACTTTGAGTAATATCAACATGATAACAATGTGAATCGATTGATGACACCAACGTTTTAGAAGCGTTACGCAGTCTATAACCATATCATCAAATGGAATAAAACCATCTCGAAAATCTAAACATACGCATAACTCTTCGGTTCGCACTGTCCACCCTGTTGGAACTGATAACACAAGACTTTTACAAGTGTTGATAAATCGTCGCACAAGGGCATGTAGCAATACGTACACGAACAGCTGAAGTGATGGTGATGACCGACCTGTCAGTTCAACACTTGAGATTCATACGTCGGGACCATATACTTGATATTAATAAACGCCTGAAAACAGTGTGGGGGAAAAATATGCATAAATGTGTTGATGAGAATATGAAAATTGTATAAAATTTTTGTTGGGTTTTTCTACGCTTCTACTCTAAGTCGCGTAGGAATCTCTTTAACGTGCCACGAAGCTCCTGAGCTCAGCTGAAGAGACCGAACGTATATCTTTATTTCTATACCATATAAATGTACAAAGACCAACAAAATTTTCCGAAATTTTCCGAAAATTTCCGAGAATTTCCCAAAATTTCCAAAATTTTCACAAATGTCCACATTTTCATCAATTCACATGTAGTTTACAATATATATACTTTTTCTCCCACACTTCAACAGAGCTCATCATTTAAACATAACACTACACGGGTTTATCTTTTCATTAATTTCTTATTGGAATCCCCCCCCAAATTCTCTATAATGACTCACGTCCTCTCCTCCATGTTTTTCCAGCACTCCCAAAGTCTCGTCTATCAAAGCCCCGATATTTCTTCCTAGTCTGTAGTCCATATCGTCTCCTGATATACAAAAAACATTGACAATTTACGGGAAAATACGCACATGTGTTGGTGACAATATGAAAAATTTTGGGAGGAAATTTTAGAAAATTCTGGTCAGTTT